TACTGCCTCGGAAACCCAAGGAGGGGGTAGCTATGAGTCAGGTCCGACTCGACGGCATACAACAACAACAACAACAACATGACAAGCTTTAAAATTTGGAAGAAGATTGTAATTATTCCAAATATTATGAAAAAAGTGAAGTTTTCATAATGCTTTTGTTTTACATGCATTTAAATTCAAATTTGCAGAAAATGGAACCACACTGGGCCTGGCTTTGGGATTTTTGAAAGATTTTAGGCTTCCTCAACTTCAATTTCACAAACATTGAAGACAATGGAGATTGGGCTATGTCAAGGGCTTTCAACTACTCTGAAAAGAAGCAGCATTCTGGAAGGGATGCTTGGGGGTGCTTCTGAAAGCAATGAGGGGAGGCTGGCCAAGCAGAACTGAAGCCTCCAACCTGTTTTCAGCGAGTACAGCTTTGTTTTTTAAATGACTTCTTACATATATGAGTTTTCTTTAATGATTATAAAAAAGCACAATCACTGATCTCTAATGAACATTAACTTTTCTTCCTTTCTCTTCTCTCCCTTTCTTTGTCCTTCCCTCTTTTTTTTTTTTTTTAATTTCAAATAAATTATTATTTCAAAAAGCTTGCTTGTGGAACATGGAGCATAATATGTTCCATTTTAAATTATACATGTGTGGCTTTCCTTTTTTCTCTTTAAATTTTTATTGTGATTTGGGTGAAAGTTTACAGAGCAAATTCATTTTCCAAACAGCAGTTAATACACATTCTGTTTCATGACATTGACTGTAATTCCCCACATTGTAACACTTCTCTTATATGTGCTTTTCTTATCCTCTTTGCCCAATAAAGGAGCTCTGGTGGCATAGTGCCTAAGGCACTTGACTGCTAACCAGAAGGCTGGCAGTTCACACCCACCAGCTTCTCCTCAGAAGGAAGGTTGGGTGATCTACTTCCGTAATGATACTGCCTCAGAAACCCAAGGAGTGGTTGCTATGAGTTGGATCTGACTTGTAGGCAGTGAGTGAGTTCCCCAAAAAACCTTGTCTGTCCCGAAGACTGTTTTTGTTCATCGTTGTAATTCCTACCATGCTTGACATAGTAGCCTGCATGTAGTCTGCTTTACAGTGAAGTTGGTTGAATTATATAAAATTGAAAATACCTTCTGATTATTGCCTCCTCTTTCTTTGAGATTGTTGGGTGCCTGAGTAAACAGGCTGCTATGCAGTGTGTTTAGATGCATGCTTAGTCTGATTGGGCTGAAAATCACTCAAGAGTGAAGAGATTTCTCCTAGTTTGAGCTCTCTGAGAAGAGTGAAACAGGAGAGAGTTGTTCTGGCAAAGACCTGGAGTGTGTGCCTGCCATGGCTCTGACAGTTTTTCACAGCAGAATCTATGCCCTTGGAAAGCCTGGTGCAGAGGAGGTAGCTGAAGACTAGGGAAATCAACGACTCTTAAACTTTGTCATTCTGCTGAGTCAATGATTAAAAAATCATTTTATTAATTGTATGTCTATTTGCCTAAAGTTGCCTCAATAAAAATGAATGATGGATGCAAAATTTATTTCAAGCAATATTTCCATAATATATACACTATTCAATTCTGGAAACCTTAGAGAACAAAATGTATCTACTTGGGATCCTACTGTACACATGGACATTTGATTGACAACACTTCTATAGGAGATTTTCTTTTTAAATAATAATAATAATAAAGGAGCTCTGGTGGAGTAGTGCCATATATCATAGGTTAATTCCTATTTTCTAACTGATTTCCAGAGATTTCATCCTATATATCTCAAAAATAAATAAATAAAACATATTCTCGCCCAAATGCTGTTAAGACTCAGGCTCACAATATTTAAGCACATGAGTTGAACTTTAGGTTAGTTATGGACAACTTGGGCTGGTTTAAATGATCCTGAGTTTCTCTACTTCCTTTGTTGTTAGCTGCTGTGGGGTTGGCACCCAATTTATGGCAACCCCATGCACCATAAGTGGTGGCTTCTCATGACTGGCATGGAAGGCAAGAATTCTACTCCTGAACCACCACTGCCCCATAGCTACTCTCTGCTTTTCCAGGATTAAGTGGAAAAGGGCACCAGTGAGGTTTTAATGCTACTCAAATTGATGTGCTCATCAGATATTTACAGCCATGCTGAGAGGACCCGCATGGATCTATACTTGCCTGCAAACCACTCTTTGTGAGTAATACTTCTGTTGTTGTTGTTGTTATGTGCTGTCGAGTCGGCCCCGACTCATAGCGACCCCTCCTTGGGATTCCGAGGCAGTATCACTA